GGTCTCAGGGGACAAAGCTGGTGGCCCCACCTCCTATAACTTGGGACATACAGCATCACTGTGTCCCTGCATCCCTGACCTCTATGGGAAGCTATGGCATGGTAGGCTCTTTGCTCTTTGCCTTCAATAGCTCCAAAGTAACAGACTGCAGTTGGTTTAGAGCCTTTTCTTCTTTTGGACAGCTGGGGACACACCAGACAGGAGCTACCAGGTTCTCCTTGTTTGCAGTGATTTGCACTACCCAGAGCCTGAGGGGATGCTCTCAAACTGGTTCCCAATGGAAACAATGGGCATAGTTGAACCACATCTCTGCCCTCTAAAATAAGTTGGCCCTGGGGGACTGGGTGCTGGCAGGTACAACACAACACAAAGCAATGCAACACAACACAACAAACACCACAGAGCAACACAACATTATAACTCAATGAACACAATACAACTCAATGAACACAATACAACAAACAGAGCAACACAACAACACAACACAGTAAACACAATAAAACACAATAGAACAAAAACACAAAGCAACACAACACAACAAACACAAAGCAACACAACAACACAACAAACGCAATACAATGCACAGTACAACAAAACAAACACAAAGCAACACAACAACACAACACAACTCAGCAAACACAATACAACACAACAAACACAACGCATGCCAATAAACACAACATAACAAACACAAAGCAACACAACACAACAAACACAACACAATAACCCACAACACAACAAACACAACACAATAAGGCACAACACAACAAACACAAAAAACACAACAACGCAGTACAACAGATACAACAGAGACAAATCAGTGCATTGCTGAAGTTCAGGGCTGTCCCCAGGGTGATGCCAGCTGCCCAGTGGAAAAGAAGTGAGATCCTGGCTGTGAGCCCACGTGTGATCACTCAGAGTGAGGAAACACCCTGGAAATCCACGTGATGGTGAAAAAAGAGTAACTGGAAATTGCATGGTGTGGTCCCAGGGATGGTGGAATAACCAAAAACCCGTGGGCAGGCGGTGAGCCTGGCTCTTGTCTGTTATTTCAGACCGTATCCGGATGGCAGATAAATGCCAGGCCCACTTCTAATTAAGGAAACTGAGGAAGGAAACACAGCTGAAGGCTTCTTACAGAGCCCGGTGAGGTCCCCACCTCTTGCTGCCTTGCTTGAGTTACTCTGGTCTGGGAGCAGGTGCCAACTATCCAGTGGGGAACCCATGCAGAACTGGCAGCAAGGGATGAATGAGATGACCTCATGGGTATTTTCCTTCCCTCTATGACTCAACCACCCCGCTGAGCTGGAGGCACCACGCTGGAGAACTTCGATTCATGCAGCAAAACCTGGGAGTGCTGTTCAAACGTCCTCGCTTCTTGCAGTGTGGAGGATGGACAGGGAAAAGCACGCAGAGCCATAGGGAGGGGAACGCCAAACCATAGAGGAAGCCAAGTTTCCTTCTAAAATCCTAGCAAGGATGGTGGTAAGGTCTCTTCTGGGGTAGGGAAGCCTCCGGAGCAACAGGAACAGTCTGAGCCACTCAAGAGCTGAGTCATGGAGCAGGAAAACCTGAAGTCACCCTGCAGATGCCCTGTGCTCTGATGTGCCCAGGAAGCCTGGTGGGGAGGCCACGGTTGCCTTGGCTGCCTGAGGAAGTCCTGGTGGCTGTCACAGGGCAGTGTCACCCTGTGACACTGGGATGGGAGGCAGGGCTGGCCCCAGTGGTGAGACATCAGGTCCCAGTGTTGGAATCTGGATGCTGCCAGCCAGATGGAGGGGTCAGAATCATAGAATGGCTTGGATTGGAAGGGACCTCAAAGATCATCCAGTTCCATCCCTCTGCCATGGGCTGGTTGCCCCCTACCAGATCATGGTGTCCAGCATCCATCCAACCTGGCCCTGAGCACAGGGATGGGGCATTTAGCTTGGAGAAGAGAAGGCTCTGGAGAGACCTCACTGTGGCCTTCCAGTACTTGAAGGGAGTGTATAAACATTAGGGGGAACTAATTAGGGGCTGCTTACGAGGATGGATAGTGACAGGACAAGGGGGAATGGTTTTAAACTGAGACAGGGGAGGTTTAGGTTGGATATGAGGAGGAAGTTTTTCACCCAGAGGGTGGTGAGGCACTGGAACAGGTTGCCCAAGGAGGCTGTGGATGCCCCATCCCTGCAGGCATTCAAGGCCAGGCTGGATGTGGCTCTGGGCAGCCTGGTCTGCTGGTTGGTGACCCTGCACATAGCAGGGGGTTGGAACTGGATGAGCATTGTGGTCCTTTTCAACCCAGGCCATTCTATGATTCTATGATCCACAGCTCTCTGGGCAGCAGTGCCAGTGCCTCACTGCCCCCTGAGTAATAAATTTTCCCCTAACATCTAACAGAAATCTCCCCTCCTTTAATTTAAAACTATTCCCCCTTGTCCCATCACTACCAGATCCTGTAATAACTCAGTCTCCCTCAGTTTCATAAACTCTTTTTAAAACGTATATCTGCTGCTGATTCCCAACACAAAAACATCAGTGGTGACCACTACTTTGCCCAGCACTCTCATTGTGCCCAGTATCTTGTTTCGACCCTAAAGAAGACCTTACCACATTGCCAACAGCACTGTTTTCTGCTGTCCTGTGAAACTGTCACTGAAACCATCAGACTTGGCTGCTTCCCTCCATCCTGGAAATACAACAGTGAAACATCAAATGCATCCCAACAGTGCTGATGTGGCACTGCCCTCTGCTGTCGGTGACTTTGTGGACACCCACCAAGGCCACCATACTGAGCTGAAGCACCGGGCTTTTTCCCCCTTGGGAATCACTTCAGGTCCTGGAAAACCATCACACAGTCTTGGAAGGATGCTGCACCCAGCTTTGGTGCGTGGTCCCCCAGCAATGCATCCACGATGACTTCAGCATCCTTAGCCTTCCCCTTTCTGCTGAAAGCAGAAGCAAGGACTATTTTCAGTGCTGTCTCACATCGGAAAGTGTCACGCATGTCCCGGTGCATCGCCCTGACCTGCTGTGGGCAGAAGGAAATGAGTAAGGCCAAGAGCTGCTCTGCCATTCCAGGAACCATCCCTACACCTCTGCCTGAGGAACCGGAGTTTCCTTCCCCCCTCCCCATGTGGGCACCCCAGCTTCTGAGGGATGTGCACGAAGGGTGACTCTTACACTTTTCCAGCAGGGAAACACTCAGGCAAGGCCTCCTGATGCTAAATATATAACCACGCTCATCCTCCCCTCCTTTATTGCTGTTACTATGTCCTTACGTACTTATGCTGGAGAAGCTAAGGTGGGATCATGGAGACACCCACTGTGACCCCGTATCTGGTCGCTTTCTCCCAAACTTTTCTTGAGGAAAGGCCTCTAGATGGGGCTTTAATGCAGTATTGCTGTCTGCTGAGCCTGAAAGCCATTTTCCATCCAGAACCTGCACACAAAGATGCAGGGGATGCTTTACCTTGAGCATTGCAATGAAGGGACTGAGATACCCCCCCTTGCCCTATGGCACCGTGCAGATCCAACAGAGCAATGCTCCTGCCAGCATGGCTTGCATCCACTGGGATGCTGAGCTGCACTGGGACACCTCAAACCCAGCATATGGATGTGCAGTGCTTGGCGTGGTGCATTACAGGCTGCTCTTGGAGGTTATCCTATGGTCTGTCCAGCACCTGAATATCACATGGCTGGGCACAGCTCTGCTCAGGGTTTCATGGCCCCATGTCCATCACTGTGGGGACACGGGGTGGCTCAACAGTGTGACACACACACACACACACGATGGGGAGGAAACCCTTTTTGTTCTCAGCTGCTGCCAGGTGCTCTAAGTGTGAGCTGAGCGTGACGGTGAGAGTGACGTTGAGAGCAGCAGCGGTTCCAAGGGCTGACATTTCGGGTATTAACTGCTTCCCAACCACACTGCTCACCCTTTGCATGCCCCAGTCGGCCCTTGTGCACGGATAACCTTGCAGGTTTGCTTAGCCCTTGTATTTATAGCCCTCGCACAAGTGTCTAGAGCTTGCAAGAGCATTTTTGCACAGATGGCCAGCCTTGCATACTGACCCTTTACACAGCTGCCTGGTCTTTGCAGGACTGCTGTCAGCCCTTGCACACCTGACTCAAGCACGGCTGCCTGGTTCTCCCACACTGAGCCCTTGCACAACTGCCCAGATGCGACACACACAGCCCTTGCACAAGGATGTGCCATAGCAGCCCAGTGTTGGCACATCCGGTCCTTGCACACCTACCAACTGCCTACCCCTTGCACAACTGGAACTTGCTCACCTGTTCTGCCCTGCCCCACCTGCTCTTTGCACACCCAACCCTCGCACAACCTCCCACCTGTTGCACACTTGCCTCTTGCACACCCATCGCTCACCCACCCCACTCATGGCACACCCATCCCTTGCACGACTGCTCATCCTTCGCACACCAGCCCAGATATGGCACGCTCAGCCTTTGC